AACATCCCAAAGCACTTCAGCATCTTGATTTTCTATTACTTTATCTATTTTGTGGTCCTACCAGTCCTTGCTTGCAGCATATCTTGCAGGTATCCCAATGCTTCATTCTTGCTATTTTATAATGTTATTGTTTGTATTCAGTTTGCTATACGTTCTTGCAACAGCTAACTAGGTGCTCTACTGCAGGGGTGTCAAACTCAATTTTATTGAGGGCCGCATCAGCATTGCGGTTGCCCTTGGGGGGCCTGATGGGTGTGGCAGGGTGGGTGCAGCCAGGGTGGGTGCGGCCTACTGGGTGGGTGTGAATGGAGTGGGTGTGGCCTACTGGGTGGGCGTAGCCAGCTCTACGTCATTCGCATCAAGGGTGCCTGTGGGGGCCGGGGCAGGAGTGGGACAGATCTAAGGGTCTCTGGCAGAAAGGGGTGGGACAAGGGCAGAGCCCATCAAGCCAGATATGTGAAGTAGGCAAGGGCCATTTGCTGGCCACTTCCAGGCGATAGTGCATTTCTTTATTCCTCACAAAGGGTGACACCTCCCCAGTGTACACCCAGGAGGCGGGGCAGACATGGCAGGGGCTGGTTCCTCGCTGTTTCCAGATGGCCTTGTGAGGCTAAGACTGAATGCATTTCAGCATAGATAGCCACCACAAAATTGTACATTGGCTCCCGGCTGGCCAGGGCCAAGGCAGCGGGGGCCGTTCCCTCACTGTTTTCAGGGTGGTTTCGCAGGCCACATGAAACCACTTTGCGGGCCTTGTGTTTGACATGTCTGGTCTACTGTTTCTTCAGCTTTGCTGATGGCATTTGCTGTCCGTTGCGGTCTTCTAATACTGGCATTGAATGCAATTGTTCTTAAGGCTTGGTCTTGTGTAGCCAGAGTTAGCCTCTCTGTCATTTTAATATTACCCAGAGCAGAATTCTGCTTTTATTCTTAATGATATTATTTTAGCATTAGATTGCACCTGGGTTTTTACATGGTTTGATCCTTTTCCTGGTCTTGAATAGTATCATTAACTTCCTTCCCTTCCCACAAAGGAATTGTTTTACACAAAAGTATTGGCAGTGACAGTCCCAAACTGGAGCTTTGACTCATAAACACTAATTCTTCCATAGGCTTCAGGTATGCCCAAAATACCCTCTGGGGGATAATTGTCCCTAGTTCATGAGCCACTGGCTTACAAGAAAAGAGTTGAAAGTTTGGTGATGAAATTGAATCCACTGATTTGACTAGCTGTCCCTTTCTTATCAGGTTAGAAGAGGATACATGAGAAATAGAGAGTGGGCTCCCTATAAATAGCATTTGGCCGAGTCTGCAGTATCTTCCATAAACCATTCCAAATCAGACATTGAGTATCTACCCTGCCAAAAAGCAGCATGTGCTCACTAAAAGGAACAAACACTGATAGCAGTAAATCTGAATGTATTGTCACATGAACTCAGCCATTTCTTGTATATTTAGTGGTGTGATCGACACAATCATGCGAACGAGTTACTTTAAGTATCCCACAGTTTTCAAATGGTTTAAAGTCAGTGTACTTCAAAAGCACAGAATCAATGAGATTTGTTTCAGACAGAAGGGGAAAATAACAGTGCCTCTTTCAATAAGCAAAGTCCCAGCAGAAAATACTGTTAATATGCTGCTTGAAGGTGCGATTAAATATAATGAACCTAAGAATATAAACGTAATGGACCTAAGACAGTGGAATTTCAGGAAAATTGTCTTGAATATCACAGCAGTCCAGCAGTAGAAATAATTATCAAATGATTAGGGCAACCTTTGGTAGAGGTTTTCAGGAACAAGACAGTTGATGTTTTGACCTTGGACGTCTTGAATTAAATAATGGGAATCTCTTTTTTTTCCAGTTCTATCAATTCCTTTTAAGGTTGATAGCAACTAGACATCTTATCTGCTTAATTAAATATGGGCCACCAAAATATTAACAAATAACAAGGAGCATTGGATTAAGGCATACAAATCATTTGCACAATTATGACCATTGTTTTCCTGTATTATCCTATTGTTGACATCTCTTGGTTAGTTGGATAATTTGAGGCTGAATAAATTGGTGGTATGAATTCAGGTTCACCTTCTTTATGAAAAAACAGCAATAATCCTGAATGGCATGGAGAAACTGGATGTGGAAAAGGATTTTCTCACCTTAACAGAATTCAAATGGTACTAGACTTGGAGGTTTGTGGACATGTAATGATTCTAGGCTGAGTCCTCCCTTGACTTCACTCCCATGCTCTGTCTGCTCTACAGACAGCTTGGCTGTTTTATGTATTTGAGCACTAAAATGGAATGGTAGAAGGCCAGCTCAGTTTTTTTTTTATATAAAAGAAAGTATTCAGGCATGTGATGCAAACTGATTTAAATCACCTTGGCAACACATCTTTTCTGATTATGGTTTGATTTTTATTTGGAATCTGGACCAAGTCTAAAAACCCCCTTTTGGGGTAAGTTAATGGATTTGTTAATGCCAAAATATGAACCATTTACGGTAGATATTTTATTAGCATGCATTTGGATGTACTAATGTTGTAAGTAAATAAAAAATATTTAAGTGTGACTAGACATATGTGACATTTCTGTGGCCCGTATTCTATGTAATTCAGGTTAGTTTGCTATCTGGAGCTTTCCAGTGGCATCATGAATTGGAGCCCAGAAATGCAGATAGAAGAACTTTAAGAAAAAAATAAACCTAATTTATAATCATGGATAAAATACAAGTACACTGTCAAAATTAAAGACTTGGAATCCAACATGAATCATTATTACTTGAATGGTAGCTAAAACAACAGATATAATTGTTGAGCAATTGAACATCTTTTTTTCAAAACAAAGATAAAAGAGTTTTATTTGAATAGGATATAGTGTTTACATTCTCACCAGTAGCTCCTGTGTCTCATTATGGCGCTATAATGTTTTTAAGTAAACAAAAAACACATGAACCGTGCTTGAAATTAGATAGGATAGTAGCCCATGCATGATATAGTAGGAAATAATCCCACATTGGCAGTCTGCATGGAAAGGATAATCTGTTTTTTTCAAGTTTTCCTTTCATTTAAAGTTTTTGTATTGTGATGCCATTCATTTATTTGCTGCTTGGACTTGCACTATTTCATTACTTATCCGAAGAGCCTGTAATATTGTCTGCAGATGTGAATAGTTTGATTAGAATATTTCGTGTTAATATCCATGCTGCATAGAAGGCTGCTTTCTAACTTTTATAATATATTATTATGTTATATTGGTGATCATTAACTTTTTTTTTCTTTTCTTGTGTTAGAAGGCTTTACTCAAATCCTAAAATTAATTCAGTTTTCCCAGTGTACTGTTTGATTGCAGGTGCATATAAGCTCCTGTAAATAAATAATATATATGCTTTTTGTGCTGTCTGAAATTGCAAGTTCTAAGTAGTGGAAAAATACCATTTTTTTCTCACTCCGTCTGGTTTGAATGAAAAGAATTAAAATAACTTTATATTTTTTTGTATTGTACAAATATACGAACATGAGAAGATCAACTCAAGATCAAAGGAAATAAGTATTTGAAATTGGACATTTAATTTAGATTTATTGTTGAAGAGATTTAGTTTTATACTTAGGATTTTGATACCAACTAAATGAACTGTTAAATGAAATAACAATTTTATCTGGCTTATATCCTAAGATAAGTAAACCTAAAGGAATTTACAAAGGAATGCTTGCATTCCCTCAGCTATTCTTGTTCTATCTATAAATCTTCTCTTGAAAGTTACCTTTTGGAAGAAATATTGTGTCTGTAAATACCCTTAATAGAGGAGAAGATACATGTCTAAAATCAGACTTGAGGTTTTATAATTAGTTGGCTGAAGAAAATAAGGTTGTTTCTGTACTTTTTCTTTCCCCAATACTCCAATCCGATCTTCCTCAAAGGTTGGTTCAGTTCAAGGACCTCCATGGAGAAAGCATTACAAGATACAGTAATTATCTTCTGTGAGTTAATTCACATCTTAATAGCCAATTTCTACATGCAAGCTGAAAACATTTGGACTCCTTAGATCTTTTCTTAAACAACTAAGTTTGAATTGTCTGATTGGAATTTTTCCTGAACCCAGTGCAAAATAATAACTTGAATTTCTGTTTATTTATTTGACATGCAAGTCCCGCAATGTTATGTTGTGCTATATCAAATCTTGTGATAATTATATGATTACTATGATCAAATTGCACTTTATTTTATCTGTGATATATTTTGTACATCAACTATATTTAATAAATATGGGCATTTTTTGTCTCTGGAAATCTACTACTGTGATCCTGATGGCATAGGATTGACTTTTCTTAGGATATACATAAAGTTGTGCGTACCCACAGTAATAGACTTGCATAAACTAGATGGTTGGGCTTGCAACAAATTATATGTTTGTTAATATATTCATTTCCAATTTGACCATTATTGATAACCCAGTTTCCTAGATTTACTTATTGTTCTAAGACAAAGATTGTTTACTAAAATATCTTCTATAAATTTGTAATTGAAACTTAGTAACTTGGGTATGATTTTCATTAGAAAATTATGCCAAGATTATTAGTCCTTAAAATGTATGCAAATGCATTTTGTATTGAGTGATGTGTGATAGACAAACTGTGGCATATTTATAACCCATAGTTGATTAGTTTAACATAATTTAAGTATGTTAATGTAAATTAAGTAAACCAAGCTATACCATGTGTTATGGAAATCACAGTGGCTGGTTACACCAAATAACCTTAGCTAGAACTGAATAGATTAGGTTTTGATTTAATACAACATTGCAACCTGGTTGACTTCATTTATTATTCACCCCAACCTAAGAGGATTTTATGCCTTTTCTATAGAGTAGATTCTCTATAAGAAGACAGTATTCTTATCAAAGTTTATTTCACTTTGAAATGTTTGTAATTCTTCTTGTTGGCTCTAATGACTCCATTCTCAGAATGAAAATGAATAATACTTACATTACTATGATTTTGCAGTTGAGCGATGGAGGCAAAGCAGCTAATGCAAACGTCGGAATAGGTGATGTGGTCCTTAGCATTGATGGGATAAGTGCGGAAGGTATGACTCATCTGGAAGCACAAAACAGAATAAAGACCTGCTCGGGTAATCTGGTTATGAATCTGCAAAGGTAATTATCATGATTGTTGGTATTACCATGACTATTATTGAATAACATTACCTTAGAAGAAAAAAGCATGCATTCTTCTTTCCCGGAATGCCTATGCTTTTTTTCTAACCATGATTGTACCCTTCATTTGTAATAATGACAGCTTTGTATGGCACCATCAATTTATTATTTAAAAAACAGTCGGACAGTTGTATGGTATAAAATTGCAAGCACCACTTGCATCTATTTCCCAATCCTTCTATGGAGAACTAAAATGTCATCTAACCTAGCTTTATTCATAACAACTCTTTAAAACTTATTTTTGAAATCATATATCCATTGCTCCCTTTTTAACTTACTATGAAAAATATATTTTTTAATATATTGTAAAAAAAATAAGGTTGGTAAACATAGACTCCTTTAAAATAGTCTGCTTCCAAGTTTACCAGTATGTGTGACAGTTATGAAAAAGCCTTCAATTGTACTCTACTAGTTTCCTTCAAAATTCCTTTCTGTATTTTTAGCCAATGATTTGGTTCTGTGTATTAAGGAGTAGTGGCAGAATGTATTCCTTAAATACAAATTTAAATTAATACTCTAAATGGAAGATCAATGTTTAATACTGTATGGGATCTCATCCTTAGGATTTGAATAATAATATGAATAGATGCAATAAAGTGAATTATACATCCCAGTGACACTACAAACTATATCATTGGCAGAAGTTTTCTTGCCACCCCATTGATCATAAAGGATTACACAAAATAAAGTGCACTCAAGAAGGAAATACATCCACTGCAATATTTTTCCAAGAAAATCAAATGGACATTCATAATAAAGAAATGTCAACCTGACACTAGGTAAAGTGTCCCCCATTCATAAAGTATCCATCAAGTTGCGGAGGAGAACAGTATATGTCACTCTTAGGCTGTGATTTGATTAAAGTTGAAAGAATGTTCATCTTCTAATATGTCAAGAAGCAGAAATAAAGTTTGATGATGTTGCAAAGATACACGTATTACTAGTATATGAAACTTGTATGTAGTATTAGAGCTAATATTAGGTGAAACCATGACCCAGGACAAACCTGATGTTGCCAGAGCAGAAATGTCAAAACAGAGACATTCTGGGAATCAGTGAATTGAAATAAATTTCAAATCCACTGCAGACAAGAAAAATATAGGAGAAATGAGGTAATTATCATTATATATACAAGTGACAGAGTCAGTGATCAGATATGTTAGAATGATTAAAAAGAACAATAGCATGATTTCAAAAAATTTAGAATGATCTCAAATTTGATTCCAAGGCAAGCCAATCAGGTATCTTGCTGATTCAAGTCTTGTGTTGCACCTCCAGATGTGAGGAAGTGGAAGTTGAACTGTTCTGTAGCAACTTGTCAACACCACACCCAAAAAAACCACAGCATGTTCATTATATGAGACTGGATGCTAAAGTTGGAACTAAAGTAGCATCTGAAATAATGGAAACATTACGTTTCTATGTATAAATGAAGCAGGAGACAAGCTAATAGTTGTGCCAAGAAAATTTAATATTTATAGCAAATACTTTTCCCCCAACAACCTAAAGCTTGAATTGATGCACCACATTAACAGACGGATGACACCAAAATAAAATTCATTATGTACCCTGCAAGAAAAATGGAAGAGTTTTATTAAGTCAGCAAAAACAAGATTTAGTACTGCCTGTGGTTCAAATCACACCACTAGATCTTATTTTTTTCTCTTTGAAAAGATATTTTTAAGTTGTAATTTTGCTCAGGCTTCTTGAAAAATTACAACTTGAAGAAAATCATCAAACCAACATGATACGATGATTTCCCTATGAAAATGTGTTGAAAGTAAAAAATTTATAGGCTGAGATTTTAAAGTGAAGCAAACCAAAATTCCAGACATGCAAAAAGGAAAAGAAGCGAAATGGCTGTTTGCTGATAGGTTAAAAGTATTCTGCCTCTTTCAAAATGGAAAGCAAAAGGTGACAAGGGATGTGTGTCAAAACAAATTCATATTCAATACATTTTATAAAATGCTGAGTTTCGGAGAGGAACAGGAAAGCACAAGGTAAACGAGCAATAAAAATATGAAGGATCAGAGGTTTGTTAAAGAAAATCACAGAAATCAAGAGATATCTTATGGAAAGATGGGAACAGTAAAAGAAATATTTAGGAAGAATATAGAAAGAAGAGATGGTATGAATATATGAAAGAACTGTAGAAAAAAATGACAGATATAAATGATTACTGATTTAGGGCGGGTCATTTTAGAAAGTGAAATTAAATGGAGCCTAGAAAGTGATGCTAACAATTGCCGTGATTTTATTAAATACTGATCAAATTGTTTAAAGTCTTTCAAAATGGTGCAGTTACAGTGCTTCATCTGATTTGTATGGTGTTCAAACTAGAACAATGGTCTAGGGCAGTGTTTCCCAAACTTGACAATTTTAAGGCATGTGGACTTCAGCATTGCTGGCTGTGGAATTCTGGGAGTTGAAGTCCACATGCCTTAAAATTGTCAAGTTTGGGAAACACTGGTCTAGGGATTGGAAAAGAACAATTTAAATCTCAATACCAAGTATGGTCTCTTCTAAAACTATAAAACAATTGTACCTAATCTGGATGTTGTAGGAAAAGCTCAAGAGCATACAGAGCTCAAGAGTGTACAGTGCAGACAACACATGGATGCAAACTGTCAAATGCTATATTCAGAAAAATACAGAGAAGGGAAATCGAAATAGAAATGTGTTCATTATTTACTGATTATACAAACACTTACATAGACCACAACAGATTGGATAACTCTTAAAAACCTGGTTTACCAGATTACTTTGTTTGCCTATTGAACAATCTGCATGATGACCAGGAAGCATCAACTGGAATAAAGAACAACTAAATTGTTCAAAATAGGGAAACTGTATACCGTCCCCGTGTTCAATTAACATACATGCAGACTATATGATGAGAAATGCTTGAGTAGAAGAAACAGCAATTGGAATTAAATTGTCGGGAGAACAACTTCAGGTAGGCTGGATACTACTGACACTAGAAGTGAAGGAAGGCCTAAGAAATCTCTGGCTGAAGATAAATCAAGAGAGTACAAAAACTGGTCTGATGTTCAATATTTAAAAAAACCTAAGATTCATCAGATAAATAATAGAATTGTTTGATCAAAAGTAATAATTGATCTCTTGAATCTATAGCCAGAGATTATGTTGATCTGAAGCATGACTAAAACATTCCAGTTCTTTGTATGAATCAATTATACAATCAATTACATATCAATTATTTAACTAGTCAACTACATTTTAGGCTGTCAAATATATACCTCAGCAGAAGTATCTTCTGAAGCTAATAGATCATCTTCTGAAGTTAGTATTTTCAAGAAGTATCCTACGAAATTAGCACCTTAGTGATTTTTTTCTCTAGCATCAGGTCTTGATTCCTGAAAACCCATTATCGCAACAAATAATCTCTATGGAGGAGTTTTAAACACATTCTTTCTGCTTTATTTCAATCATTGTAAGAATCCATTCAGCCTTCAATAATGAAGGATTTGCCAACCCCAAAATAAATGAATTCAACTCCATTCATTACATGTGATGCCCACTGAGATTTGCAGGAGAATTGAATTTCTGCTGAAAGCTAACTTCTGGATATCTAAGAAGTGCTGTGGAATAATGTTGACTAATATTGGGACAGAAACAGTAGAAACTAGTTTTTAGTTTTTATTCAATGACCAGTTTACAAATCCTTGGAGGTTTTTGTTACACTAACTTGATAGAAAATGAGTCAGTGTTTCAGCCCCTGTGCAGGATGTGACTCACTAGTGACTGCCATCTTGCCGCTGGAGCAAAGATTGTACAGGATTAGGCTGGTAAAGATCAAATGAAGAGTCCTTGGAACCAGACATGGCATTTTAGCTTTGTTTAAGAGGGAATGTTGTCTTATGGTCTTATGCCAGTTTCCAGTCCTACATTTTCCATCTGTTTTTAATCCTTTTTGCATCTGAGAAACATTTGACAATGTATTTTTGTAGCTGTGCCTACGCAATGGTCTTCTGCCATCACAGATAGATAGTAAATGCTTTGAGCAACTTTTACAAACCCAAGTAATTCAGAATATGCTGGTCTGAGAGGTGGCCTTAAATATTATTGACTGTTCATAAACTATAATTCATTTCATCAGATGCACATATATTTTTATAATGCAGTATGTTTTTTTATCCATTATTTAGTGTTCACTAAAATTATTCTACATGTAAGCCTTGTATTGCCATATTTCATTTTTCACTGACCCTGATTGCATTTTTATACATTTATTATAATTATTTATTAAATTTATATGCCAACGTAAAGGTTGTACACCTATTGAGAATTATACCACAAAAGCCTAACTTTTGAACAATATTAAATATAGAGATGGCTGTCACTTTATTTTATTTTATTCCAACCTATTCCTATCTTACATTTTAGCTTCATGCTTTAGTTTTAAACAAATAATATTCTGGGGGGGGGGGAGGGGGGTTGTCCTAGGGATATAGTTTACAGTGGTAACAACAGTGACAATAATATTCTGTATTCTTTTAGTCTATGTTTAATGTTTTGTCTTTTTTTTACTTTCTAAAGTTTGTTAGTTGTTTTCCCTCTGTACGACTCTTTCACTGTAATAAAATTGACTGACCATAAGCTTTTACCATATCTCAAGGTTTTTGCTGGAATAAGCTATATTATTGATCACAGTCACAGTAAGACTCATTTACTAATTTGCAATTTGTGCTTGCATTAATTTTTTTAAATGCAATGCCCGTAATTAAAAATACATAGGATATACAATTATACCCTCAAATTATTTACATTTCATTTATTACTTCTGTTTAACCCAAGATGTGCATTCCTAATTTGTAGCATAGCTGCTCTGTTAGAATTGAGCCAGATTTACAAGAAAAGTATAAAGCACATCGTGGGATATCAGACTGATGAACAAACTTTTAACTTTTGTCCTTATA